GAGGAGGAGGAGGAGGTAATGGGGTGGGGGTGGGGGGCAAAAGCATGATGGCAACAGAGGCAGCAGCCACATCAGGGAGAGAGAGAGGGAGGGAAAAAGGGAGGGGGTAAGAGGGGAGAGGAGAGGAAAGAGAGAAAGAAGCTAGGGCAGGGAAGGGGGAGGAGCACAGGACAGGAAAGAGGAAAGGAACTGAAGAACAGAAGGCTTAGGGGATCCATGAAAGAGGCGCTGGGGACCAACAGAGGATCCAGGTTCAAGAAACTGTCTCAAGGGTCTGACAACAGGAAAAGCAAACAGAAATAAACAATCTAGGGTGTGTGAGTGTGAGCCCCCCAACAGAGAGAGAAGGGCAGACTCTTGGCTTAGGAACAGAAGGCCGAGGGCTGGGAACAGAGGCAGCCAGCAACCAACATGGACAGGGAGAGGGAGAGAGACCTCGGAGCAGCAGGAAAGGGTGACTTTTAGTCATTGATTCTAGAACCATCTTCAGACTCCTGACTCCCCAAGTCACGTGAGTTACTGTTGTACCATCTACAAATAATGAATGCGAGGGGGAACCGCACCTCTGTAGAGAGTCTTTTGCTATCCTGTTTGTGCTGGTGTTCCGCTGTGTTGACCAGGGATTCTGCCAGCTGGTACCGGTCTTGCTCCATTGGTGCCCCGGTGAAGTTCAGCGTCGGGGGATCCCAGCCATTGCGGAACCGGGGAACGTAAGGTGCGATAAACTGTTCTTTCGGCCACTCTGCTCTGTAGGATGACAAAAGGTCATATAAACAAAAATGTTAAGAAATTGTCACAATTCTCTTCAATACAGCTAGTCAAACACAAAAATAACAGATAGTTCATTGGTCTTCCATTTGCCAAGAAAGAGTAAACAAACCTGTTTGCACCCAGTAGCTCATCCAAATAAAGTAACAGAGAGATTCATTTCTATAGTTTGATCTTTTTCAACACTTTTCCTTAACTTACTGTGAAGCCAGAATTTTCAACATGTGAGTTTAACTTAACATTTGTGCATTAAATTAGTGTGGCATTCAGAGCGCACACCAGCAGTAACTAGTTTCCACCTCTCACCTAGCCCTTCATTATCCTGAAAGCTCCAAGGTATTAGACATATCTTTGAAAAGAGAAACAGCCAAGCATGTTACAAAGGTTCATGAGTTTTCAAAGTGCAAAGCTTCATAAAATAAGCAGGTGACCAATTTTATAAATTAAATGTATCAGCTCTGTTTTAATCAGGAAAGTCAACTCATCTGCCATCATAATCAACATCCATTCATCAGCGAATGCCTCTGAGAGAGATTCCCACAAGCTCCTGTCTCTAGTGGACCATCCAGAAATAACTACCATGGAAACTATGGCTTTGTTCTTTCTCCAGTGTGTTTTGTCTTACCCTTCATACGTGCTTTAATCCTTCAAGTGATAAGTGTCACATGACAAAGTGACAATTTTATTTAGATGACTAGGTGCCGCCTTGGTTCTTTCCCTTGTTATCAATTTTCAGATCACGACATTTGTTTCCTAATACTCTTAATCAGGATCTGAAATGACCCTTTTCCCCTGCTAAACACCAACCATATATCTCCTTTTGATGTAGCTATTTCATATTTTACTTATTTTTATTTTTTATGTGTATGCGTGTATTGCCTGCACGTAGGTAAATGCACCCATGTCATGAAATGCCCACGGAGGACAAAAGAGGCTGGCGGATCCCCTGGAACTGGAGTTACAGACAGTTGTTAGCTGCCATGTGGGTGCTGGGATTCGAACCTGGGTGTTCTGCAAGAACAACCAGTGTTCTTACTCACTAAGCCATCTCTCCAGCCTCCTGACAGAGCTATTTAAAGAATCATTACTTTTCTAATTTTTGAGGTGAGGTCCCAAACAAAGTAACTCAAGACCCTGAGCTCTTAAAAAAAAAAAGAAAGAAATTCTATGAGATCTGAAAGATTTTAAAAGCTTTGTGGAAAAATATTTAAATCCTACCTAGGCTTATTATAAGGTCACAACCTGCATAAATCTAACATATTTCACAAATATATTTAACCAGTTTTTATATCATATAAGATATAAAACAGGCTGGAGAGATGGTTCTGTGGTTAGGAGCACTTGTTGCTCATGCAAAGGACCTGGGTTTGGTTCCCAACACCAACATCAAGTGGCTCACAACTTGTAACTCTAGTTCCAGGAATCTGACACCATCTTCTGGCCTCTGTGGGGCACCTGTACACACATGGTACACTTATACATGCAGAAATTCATACATATACATAACATAAAAAAGTTCTTTTTTTCTTGAGACAGGGTCTCCCTGAAGCCCTAGCTGCTATGTAGACCAGCCTGTTCTTGATTTCACAGAGATCTGCCCGCCTCTGCCTCCAGAGTGCTGGGATTAAAGGCGTGCACCAGCACATCAGAAAAATGGTTTCCTTAATTATGTAAAATAATATGATAAAATATATAATATGGCCTGGTGATACATCAATATTATAAATAAATACAGGGATAAATGTGAATAGGAAAAGCAATGCTATAGCGCTTTGAAGGAGTTTCAGCTTGGCAAAACACATTAAGCACAAATTACACTCCAACACACACAGTCGCCAAAGTCCAGCAAGGAAGTGGAAATGCCTTGTGTGTGTTTCAATAAAATGAAAAGAGAAAGATGAATTGCTCCACAGTTTTTACATTAGCCTGTCCAAAGGTATTAGGACAAACTTATAAGTGATTAATTGACTGCTATCCTGAAGTATTTGCTCTAAATGATGGAATAAAAAGATTTCAGAAAATAAGCAAGCAAAAATAGCTCAGCCACATAAACTAGAAATGCTTCTATAACATGCCTTGTCAGCAGGTGTTAGCACAACACTTGTTGATGGTTTGCATCTTCACAGTCTCTTTATTGACACATGCATGGCTCTAAAATTATTTCCCTCCCTTTCTCATGCTACCGTAACTGTTCTAAACCTGGAGAGAGTTGATGTCTATAGAGCCTCTACAATACCATCAATATCCCAAGAAAAACCCCTGACTTTTATCCCTGGCCATGCTGGACCAAAATACCAGACTAATCTCTAAAGTCATAGATGCACTGCGTGGGTAATGTGTACCTGTAATCCTAGCACATTGAGAGGTGGCAGTAGAGGATAACGAAATTCAAGGCCAGCCTTGAAAGGTAACTTAGTAAATCTCAAAGTAAAAAAAAAAAAACGAGTTGAAGATGTAGCTCAGTGGTAAGCCATTTGCCTAGCATGTGTAAGGCTATAAGTTCAGTTCCCAAGACAGACACAGAGAAGCAGAGAGAAAGTGTGACAGGTGTGACTATGTGAGAGTCCTGCTTACAAAGTTAGAGGTCCTCCACAGCCTACAGAACCTGCTGCCAGGCATGGCCTTGAAGCTTTCTTAACCTAGCCCTGCTTACCTCTGCATGCCTCATTTAACATCATTCCTCTTCAAACCTTACTCCCAACCATCCACTACCCAAAGTCCACCCTCTCCTATCTCTGGACCTAACTGCTTTCCCTCTTCATTTGTATATCTCTTTCTACTGCTACATATTTATGGAAACTCTCCTTATCGTCCTAAAAGGCAATTTAGCGAAAGGATTAGGAGCCCTGACTCCAGAGCTCTGTCACCTAAAATGCTGTATGACTTGAGGCAAATGCCTTGATCTCTCTGGGCTTTACTTCTCATCTGTGAAACAGAAATAATGACAGTACCTCTATCAAACGTATGGAAGAGCACATAGCAGACAGTGTATGCTTGTAGATGTATGTGTATGTGTGCTTACTTATTGCTAGCAGTATTATCTGCTGATTAGAAATGTTAGCTCTTCCTTGAGAGATAGTAACCCTCTTTTCTATATCCTCTTCCTGACTCTTGCACCATGTCAGTATGTCACAGTATCCTCTGACACACTGCTGGTCTTTTTCACACTTCCTATTGCACACTTCCTATTCCTTTCACTTGACAAAATTTCATTAACATCCATCTATCTATCTATCTATCATCTATCTATCACCTATCTATCATCTATCTCTATCAATCATCTATCTATCATCTATCATCTATCTATCTATCTATCTATCTCTATCTATCTATCATCTATCTCTATCAATCATCTATCTATCATCTATCTATCTATTTATCATTCATCTGTTTATGAGACAAGGTCTCCCTATAGCCCTAGGTGGCCTGGAACTCGCCATGTAGACCAGCCTCAGTTTCACAAAGCTATGCCTGCCTCTGCCTCCCGAATGCTGGGATTTAAAGCCATGTGCCACTTTAGCTAGCTTTTTAAAATTTCTTGAATTACATAAATTTATTTGGCATGTGTGGAAGTCAGAGGACAACTCAGAGGAGTTAGTTTTCTTATCTACCACGTGGATCCTGGGAATCAAACTCGGGTCCTCAGGCTTACTGGAAAAAGCTTTACCAACTTGACAAGAAGCTTTTTAATAGAGTCCACTTCATCCCACAACCCATGGGTCTTCATATATAGAATGTTAAATGAATGTCTCATTAGATCAGTGCAGCACCAAAGTACACTTATGGCATCACAAGCACTAAATGTTGAGTTCACATACGCTTACCTGACTTTCAACCATGTTTCGCCCAACGACATCCACAGCTGCCTCTCATCTGCATTAACAGTATGATTTAAGAAATCAACTGTGTCTTTAGTCAGTAGGGGGCTGAGCACTGAACTGGCTAGTTCAGGACCACCTGTTGCCTGTACCACCTAGAAGGAGAATAAATCATTCTTAGCATGAAAATGATTATTGGTGTGTTTTTTAGATGTATGTGCAAAATTCCATGCTGAAAACAAGCATTGGTTTTATATATTCAAATTAAATGTTGATGTGGTATGGGGACTGGAGAGATGGCTCAGTGGTTAAGAGCACTGGCTTCTCTTGCAGAGGCCCCGGGTTCAGTTCTCACCACCCACACAGAGGCTAACAACAGTCCTTAACTGCAGTTCCAGGGTATGTGACACCCACTTCTGACCTCTAGAGGCATTGCACATATCTGATGCACTTACATACATGCAGGCAACATACATACACAGAAACTAAATAAATTAAAAAAACAAATTTTGATGTTGTGCAATACACTACAGAATGAAAATCAACTTTCCAAACTGACTTATCCAAAACAGGGGTACCTTAAAGTCTAAGGTGGAAATTAATACTTTAAGAATATTCACTGCATCGACTTTTGACTATGTGCAACTATTGTTTTCCATGAATAATACTGATGACTATACAGAGACCTCATTATCAGCTGACTAAGCTATCTCTACTTCTTGTGGTTTTTTATATTCTAAAATTTTTATTTACTTTTAATTTAGATAGATAGATAGATAGATAGATAGACAGACAGATTTTTTTTTTTTTTGTCATTTTGAGACAGGGTCTCCCTGTAGCCCCAGCTATCCTGGAACTCACTATGTAGACCAGGCTGGCCTCAAACTCACAAAGATCTGCTTGTCTCTGCCTCCCAAGTGCTGGGATTAAAGGTGTGCACCACCACGCCTGGCCTATTTATTTATATTTTATGTGCATGAGTATTGCCTGCATATATGTAAGTGCACCTCTGTCATGCAGTGCCCGTGGAGGACAGAAGAGGGCGTCGGATCCCCTGGAACTGGAGTTATGGATGGTTGTTAGCCACCATGTGGGTGCTGGAAACCAAACCCAGATCCTCTGGTGCTTTTCATTGCTGAGCCATCTCTCCAGCCCCCATACTTTTTTTGTATTTTAAATATGTGCATTACGACTAGCAAATTTATTTCATCACAGATGAAAAGTATGGGCCTGGAAATGAGAAAGAAGCCCTGGGTTACCAACCCCTACGGTGCCTGCTGAGATGTTGAGATGACAAAAATAAAGGGATCTGGAAAGAGAGAAGACAGAACAATCACAACTGGTATTCTCCCCCAGAATCCAATTCTAGTAAATTTCCCTGATTTAATATGGACAATTTAATGGACAGCAGGAAACAGGTGCAATGCTTTGATAAGCAAAATAATAACAAGTGGGTGTCTGAAAATGGCTCCCAATTTACCTCCCAAGAGCTATGTCCTAGATAAGGAATTGCAGTTATCTGCTAGAAGACAAACCAGACTCTTTATGAAAATCTCACCTTCTCAGGAAGTGGTGCAGGGAAAAGATTTTTTTTCAATGGTTTGAGAGTCAACTTCTCCCTGATCAGTAGTGCTAAGCAGGCTGTGCTGTTTTGCACTATTTAAAGTGTGGGCTTTTCTGATTCCCCAGAGGGCTCTTCTATTATCTACAGTTAATGCAGATGCCATGTCTTATAGGAAATCTTCTTTCTTTCTTTCTAGACTTGTTTAATTTTATGTGTATGAGTGTTTTGACTGAGGTAGGTATGTGCATCACATGCCTGCAGTATCTGCAGAGGCCAGAAGAGGCCACCAGGTCCCCTAGAACTGGAGTTACTGTTGGTTGTTTGCTGCTATGTGAGAGCTGGAAATCAAATTCCCATTCTCTACAAGCCCTCTCTCTCCAGTCCCATGTGAAGGCTTTCTTAACATCACAGGAAAACTCTGATACAGGTCCTGCCCAGTACCCAGTGTCCTGAAAATAATTCATGCAAAGTAGCAACATATTACATTGTAATTTAAGGTTTATTGTTCTGCTGCCAATCCTGTAATTGACCTTAACTTACAGAAGACACAATGTTAGGGGAATGAATTGCAAATGCCAAGACAGGAAGATGGGGGACGGCGGATAAAGGACTTAGGTGACTTTTATTGAGAACAGGGTCTCCCTATAGCCCCAGCTAGCCTGCAGGTCACTATGTACACCAAGCTGACCTGGATCTCAGAGAGATTCTCCTGCCTCCTGAGTATTGGATTAAAGGTATATGCCACCATGCCCAGCTGTGTGTCTTTGACTTTTTGAGACCAGTGGCACTCTGCAGTCCAAGCTGCCCTTTCATGTTCCTAGGTCTGTCAGAAATATCAGTTTCTCCATCTCTAAAACAAGGTGCATCATAATGAAACCCATTACTTTGCATGGTAATGTAAAATTTAATTTTAAGAAACTGACAGTAAAAAATAAACATGCTTTTCCTTCTTTCTTTTCTCCCTCCCTCCCTCCCTCTCTCCCTCCCTCCCATTCTATTTTGCTTGCTTGCTCTCTCCCTTCTTTCCCTCCCTCCTTCCCTTCCACGTTGCTGTTGCAGGGCTGGAGAAATGGCATCCATGTCCTTGCATTGTGTTAGGCACGTGTCCTGTTACTGAGTCACATCCCCAGCCCTAAGTGAGACGCTTCTTTTAAACTCTCAAACTTCACATTCTAGGAGTTTACAGAGATATTAAGAAAAATAAAAGCATGAAAGATAATGAAGGAAAACCTTCCAAAGTAGTCCAGACCTTTGGAGTAGAAACATGAAAAATGATTACTTCACTACATTAATAGATTCTTACCATATTTAATGGGGTAAACAAAAAATGAACCAAATCTGCAGCACTTGGATTCTGGATATGAGACTTCAGTTTGGCCTGAAATAGTACAAAAACACACAAATATGTTACCATGATAGCATCAGCCAAAAGAAGGACACTCAAAAGGAATCCAGTGCTACTTGGAGGGAGAGTTTTACTGCTATTTTCACTTGGAGTTTATTCATCAGCACAGACAGAATGAGAGTCAGAGGGGTTAGTTAGCTACATTTAAAAAATTAGTCTCTCCAAAATGCATTATTTATGATTTGTGGCTATAATTAAAAGTCAATCAAAACGCACACACACACACACACACACACACACACACACACACAAAGAATCTACAAGAACAATCTCTTTAATTTAATTTTCAGGAACATCTTGGCTAGACTGATTTCCTTTCCATCTATTTCTTCTAATTATATACAAGTAAATTCTACTTACCAGAAGGTTAAATCCATGTTTAAACTTCTGGAAACAGTCAACAAATTCATCAGGAGGTGGAGGTTTTGCCCTCAGCGTTAAAACACCCTCTAAGGAAGTAAGAGGGTGAAGGAGAACAGTTGTAAGAAAGTTCATTAAATGTGAAAACAAAGCCACATTCCTTTCCAGTTAGACCATCACACCTGATGTGGAATGTCCACCCACAGCATCTTTCAGTTCAATAAATTAAGATGATCCAAAGTTTGAATGGATTTCTCTACCCTTAGGCGCTACCCATGATTCACTCAATTCCATAGGCATGACTTGTAGCCATTCATGTGTAAGACGCTGTGGCCATCATTTTAAAGACCATAAAGATGAGTAAGTGACAGTCACGGTCTTAATGGCCTTAAAACATAATAGAGGAAGTGAACCAGATGAGTATCAGGTGCATCAAGTAAATGCTAAGACAAGAGACTGCTCTGGTTGGGAAATGGGGAAAATGAAGACCTAAAAGTTCATTCAAGTAGCTTTTAAGATGAGATTTGAAAAGTTTTTCCCCCACGGTAATATGTAGAAATAATCATGGTAGGAGTAAAGCAGTGTATGGGATAAAAATGAAATTGTAATTACATGGTACAAGAAACATTAGTCCAGGAGAATGGAGTAGACTCAGGTTAGATTATGGGTGACCATAGTGTCAGGGTGAGTGAGGCTTTACACTTAAATCAGTAGTCCATGGAATCACATGCTTTACAGCAGAGGAATGAGGGCTCTGATTGGGCAGTAGGAGGTGATCTACCCTACTAGCTGTGGCAACACACTCTAGTAATCGCTGTATTTGAGAGGAGGAGGCAGAAGGATTAGGAGTCAAGGTTATTCTTAGCTTCATAGCAACTTGGAGGCCAGCCTGGGCTGGATGAGACCTTGTCTCAAAAACCAAAGAAACAAAACAAACAAATAAAAAAGGGGACGATGACCGTTCCTATAGTACAGAAAACTAGAGGGTTAAAATCTGCTTAGAAAGATGGATTTAAAATGATGGTACTTTCAACTGGTTGGTTATGAAAACACAATATGAGGTATGGGGAAAAATTGGAATGTACATCTAAGTGGCTGTATGCTACAGAGAGAAGACATGGAGGCTTTGGTTCTGAATCAGGGTGATCAGGACAGCACACTATATAGAGAATATAGGAGGAATATGTAGTCTGAGACACTATGTGGCAAAACATCACTTCAGAATGGGAGGTGAGGAATGTCTACCAACATCCTTAAGACAATGCTAAAGATCATATGTGGACTATACAGATAGAAGTGAAGAAGGTTTGGAATGAAATGGACTTTCATGAGCTTTCTTTCACTCCTTTCAATCTGTCCCATTTATCAGAGGAAAGATACACACTACTTTCATAGTTAGGCTTTTATACATTTCAAGACATTTTATTTTCGTTTGTTATTTTACTATAGCTTTTTGTTTAGAGATTTCTTTCTGGCTTTGTTGAGCCAGGATTTTACTCTGTATCCAAGACTGGCTTGAAGCTCACAGTGATCCTCCTGTAGAGGCCTCCTGAGTGCTGGGATACCAGGTATGAGTCACCAAACCTGGCTTTTAAGGAATTTCAAATATAAGAACCACAGCAATGTGTCAAAATTGCTTTTGCGACTTTGGATGTGAACGACTATTTGGGGTTTTATGATAACAAATTCAAATCCACTGATATTTTAAAATACTTTGATGAGAGAAGTCAATTTTGAATGGAAAAAAAATGAGGCTCTACAGTTATAATGGAAGAACTGCATGGAAAAGAACAGAGCTATGACTGTTTTGAGCGGACACCCATTTTGTAATCTTTCAGAAAAACTACAGGTAGCAGGCTAACACCTGAATCTCAGAGTGGCTGTGAATTAGATGGCACAGCCACTTTGAAAACAATGTGAGCTCTAACCTCTCCACTTGAGTCTCTGGTTCTGTCTAAAGCTAGGCAAAGCTTGGCCTGAGGTCAGCACAGAGTGAGAAGCCCAGGACAGAAGCTCTGCCTAGCCCCGGTAACCTTAGATCAAGCAACCCAACTCACCTCCTGGCCCCTTTTTTTTACTCTTCTTGCTTTTTTTCCTCTTAGAAAGCTCAGAAAATGCTTCTGCTGCCTTTTGGAGTTTCGTGATAAAAAACTCAATGTCATCCAAAATATGGTTTAAGATTTGCTGGAATTAGAAATTATAGAATAAAATATAAAACAAAGAAAAATAATTATTTTGCTCTAGCTGCATAATGCTAGCTAGTACAAAACAGAAATTTAAAGAGAAAAACCAGCCTTTTTTTCCCTCTCCCTCTCTCTCTCTCTCTCTCTCTCTCTCTCTCTCTCTCTCTCACACACACACACATATACACACACACACACACACCTGTAGCTGAAACCTGACCTTTATGTTTTTCTTCAGCTTAATTTTGCTATTTTTCACTGCCATCAGGGAAGCATTCACAACATGCAATCAGACCATTAATTTAAATGACTCTAATTTTCCCATAGTGTCTCCCACACAAAGTTTGGAAGGGACAATTCTGAGAAACATTTTTGTAGCAGAGCACTGAACATTTTTGTTTAGCTAATGAACATCCCAATAAAGCTGAAATGTTATTTCACAGAAGTCATAGGAGACGGAAATAACGTACAAAACACATAGTCAATATGCATAAGCAGGCATCCATAAGGCTTTTCTACACAGTGAGACAGAATTCGTGAACAGACGTGCAGCAAAACTAAAGGACTCATTTCAGTCTTTCAGACTGCAACCTTGGTTAGTTTTCTTTAGTCTGAAACTTGGCATTCTTCATATTGAAAGACTAGAGATTAGGCTTTAATAAGCATTCAAATAAAATGCAATAGTGTAGCATAAAATTAAAATCTGAATGTCATATTACTTTTAGCATTTTTCAAAAGAATCTGGGAACATGTATCTACTATGGGAAGCAAATTAATATCATTATATAATACAACAGGATGCTGCTCCTCTGCAAGTTAACTGCTATGAAAAATTAAAAATAAAATACACATTACCCTTGATAATACTTAAATGTTTAGCCTTTAAAGTAGCACTTAACTTTCCCCTTTTAAGTATTTTAAAATATTTTTTCTTTTTTCTTCTTCATGTGTGTGTGCATGTTTGTGAGGACACATGTGTATGGGTGCACATACATGCGGGTACACTGCATGTGTGTGTGTGCATGTGGAGACCCAAAGTTGATGTTGGGAACCATCGCCCACCACTCTTCTACCTTATACAGTAAGGCAGGGTTTCTCAATCAAACCCAGAGCTCAAGCAAACATGGCTAGTCTGGCTAGCTAGAGTGACAGTGGGCTGTACATTCACCATGCCTTTACATGGGTTCTGGGGATCTGAACTCTGATCTTCATCCTCGCAAGGCAAGTGCTTTAAACACTGAGCCATCTTCCCAGCCCTAAAATACCTTAATAAGCCAGAATATGAACTATTAAAAAGATATCTCAGCCATGAGTCACAAACTATGAAAAAAGTGAAAATGAACCTCCATCAATCTTGGTGGCTCAGTTTCATTTCCTCTGTAAACTAGTTAAGTTGCTATTATTCTATGAAAGCTCTCTCTCCTAGTTAAACATTAGTAGGAAAGCAAAAAATAATTAAGGAAAAAAAAACCTCAAAGATCATGACCATCACCGGGAAGAGAAAATGTAATTTCTGCAAACCACTTGCACGAAATCCCCTTCTCAATATCTTTGTTTTTCTTTAGAAAACAGAAGGGCTCATTATCTGAGCGTGGCTGCTCTGCTCACCACATCCCTGTCGATCCGGGCTGCCATCATCTCGGGCGTCTCTTCCTGCTCCTGATACTGCCGGGGTTTCTCAACTAAAGAAAAGAGAAACATAAATCTTTCCATGTTTTACTAAAGCAACAGCAATATAGAAATTAGAACAGGAGTGACTAGAAAAGAATGCCCAACAGCAGGGGAGTTCATCCCACCTGGGAGCTATGACGCAGGGGCACTTGGGCACAGCACCAGGTGGTCTTTCCACACTTACAAGGTTTATTTGCCTGTTATGTCTCCTCTACTCTCCCTCCTCCCTGTGTCAGCTACCTCTAAAACCAGCCTTTCCTTAGCACGCCAGTTCCTACAGAAGAAATATAAACCAGCACTTAAGCATGTCCTTGCCAAAAAGTGATCAAGCAAGTTCTAATACAACAGAGCCACAAGCTTCTATGATGTGTGTGTGTGTCTATGATGTGCATGCGTGTGTGTGTGTGTGTGTGCACGCACAGGTGCATGTGTGTGGGAGAGCCTATGCATATATGTGTGATACATGTGGAGGCCAGAGGCCAGAGGTCAAAGTTGAGTATTACTCTCAATCTCTCTCCACCCATTTTTTAATATATGTATTTAATTTATTTACTTTCTTTTATGTGTATAAGTGTTTTGGCTGCATATATGTAAGTGCACCATGTGTGTGCCATGCCCACAAAGGCCTCAGATCCCCTGGAACAAGAGTTACAGAGAGTTGTTAACTGCCATGTAGGTGCTGGGAACCGAACCATGGTCTTCTGCAAGAGCAGCCAGTGCTCTTAACTACTGAGCCATCATCTCTCCACCCCTCCACCTGTTTTTGAGAGCTTAGAGCTACCTGATTTAGTTGCACTGGTTGTCCAGCAAGCCTTAGGGCGCCCCTCATCTCCTGCTCCCTGAGCTGGGACTACAGGCATGTACCATCATGCCTGGCTTTTTTACCCAGGTGCTGGGGATGGAACTCAATTCTTCTTGCTTGTGTGGTAAGCACTGTAATAGTGAACCATCTGCCCAGCCTAAGCTGCTGGTTTCTACACATTCCAACTCTGTGACTACTATAAAAGTTTGGTAGTTCTGAGAGTCTAGTGCTTCCTAAATTCTAGTTGTAATGAATCAAGCGTAAAGCCTACAATGTTTGGCTCCTTGATTTTGAACCACTTTATTTTGATGTTATTTTGAAAGAAATAACATCCAGGAATTTGAAAAATCAAGAATCCAAGTCTCAAAAGCACTCAAGATGTGAAGACAGTTCACCAGGCTAGAATGCGTGCTAGTCATGAGACTTCCATTATGGCCTCCTTCCTGCTGTGAGTCAGTCAGCACCACAGTAAACACTGATAGCAGTGCAACTATCTCAGAGAAGATGAAATTTAAAGACATATGGCTGGGACAGTAGCAATAGATCACAGTGAACAGCTCGTGATGCATCATCATGAGTCACCAGGTTCAATACAGAGAACGGCAAAAAATACTGAAAACTCTAAATTTCAACACCTGCCTTGGGCTAGCATTACCTGTACGTGGAACACATGCAAACAGGAAAAGAAAAAAGGGAAGAAATTACTGGGCCTTATGAAGCCGAACTGGTACCTATAACTATTCAAACTATATGTACAAAACCTTGCCAGCTTGGCTACATTGTGCTATAGAAAGCAGAAAGATGAGGTTGAAATACAGTTACTGAGAGCCCCAAACAGCAGCAAAAGAGATGCCATCTGGACATGACATAGCTGTTACACACATAACGTCACAGCAGCTGTGGTTACCTGTAGGACTTGAACCTGTCATCAGCGATGGAGAAGGGGGCCATGAGGCCCACCCCCTTCCAACAGACTATTGGTAACTAATGGTTGTTGGGGCAGGTTGTCATCCCCTTCAATGGGGTAATTACTGATAAGTTGCCCATACTTCAGTAAATGACGTCTCACCCACTCCCGGCCAAGAAACTGTAATTCAACTCATCAAGGCATATACAAAAAGTGGATATAAAGTGGGAAGGAGCTTGAGAAGGACTTTGATAGGAGGGGGAAGAGAATGACAGAGCACAATGGGGTAAAAAGGACTAAAATTCACTACATAACCTTATGAAGCTGTCAAAGAATTAAACACTTTTAAAAAAAGATTCTGAGGCTAATGTTAACTCATTCTAGCAAGTGACATATATTGTTTACACTGTTAAATAGTTCATTTGGATAATACTTGACTGGATACAGGATAAATGATTTAAGAAGTCTCACTGAGGAGCTGGTGAGATGGTTCAGTGGGTAAAGAATTTGCCATGCAGGCATGAGGACTAGAGTTCAAATCTCCAACACCCACATAAATTCTGGGCTGTTGTGGCAGCCCACCAGTAATCCCAGCATGCAGGAAACAGGATCCTGCATCCCTGCATACCAAGACTGGAAGCATGGTGAACTCTGGTTCATGAGATCAGCCCCGCCTCAACATATAAGGTGGAGAATGATAGTTATCAATGACATCCAACGTCAACCTCAAACTTCCACATGCATGCACACACACTAGCACATACACATGTATGCCAACTCACACATACATGCACATATACCATAAACACATACACATGCAAAAAAAAACACCCAGAAGTACTATTTGGGTATAAGGCAAATCATGCATTTGAACATCCCAGATCACATCTAGAAATGATAAAGCTGGACCAACCATATTTCAAGGCATTTTCCAGTCAAAAGTTTCAGGTTCTAGTAAAATATTATGCAATAAAAAGTCACACTTGAGATGGAAACATGGCTTGTCAGTAAAGGTGCTTGTCACCAGTGTAACAAGTTTAGCACAATCTCTAGATGGAAGGAAAGAACCAGCTCCCACGAGCTGTCCTGTGACACCCACACCCACGGTGCCTTGCCCACATCTACACACATACTACATACAAACAAACATGCAAATACAATTTTTAAAGTTACACATAAGGATAGGCTATAATTGTTTTTGAAAGCATTGTCTAAGTAACAGAATGATGACTCCATGGGGCCCACTTGACAAGGTTAGCCAAGAACGGATGCCTTTTTTCCCTCCCACTGTCCCAACATCCTTTCCATCAACACAAAACAGCTGCCCAGAAATAGTGACAATAAGCAGAATGACTCTGCAGTAAAATGTTTTTAAAAAGAAAAACCCTGGGGCTAGAGAGAGATGGCTTAGCGGTTAAGAGCACTGAGTGCTCTTGCAGAGGACCCGGGTTCGATTCCCAGCACCCACATAGTGGCTATGAACCGTCCTTAACTCCATCCAGTTCTAGGGGAATCTGAAGCTCTCTCTGACCTCCATGGTATTGCACGACAGGGGTGCACTCACATACATGCAGGCATTACACTCATAAAATAAAAATAATAAATAAAATATTAAAAAAGAAAAAAAGAAAAACCCTAATGGTCTTCTGTCAGGCATATATTTGATGATCATATTCTTATTTCTTCAATCTTATTTATTCATATGTATGTGTATGAGTGTTTTGCCTGCATGTACGTAAGTACACCACATTCATGCAATGTCCGTGGAGGCCAAAAAAGGCAAAAGATTCCCTGAACTGGAGTTAAGATTGTTTGAGATATTCTGTATGAAATACACAAAAAGTCAATAAAAACAAATTAAAACAAAACAAAACAAAGAACAGTCATTAGCCTCCATGTGGATATTGGGAACTGAACCTGGGTCCTCTGTAAGAACAGGCAGTGCTCTTAACCCTGAACCATATTTCCAGCCTCCTATTATTGTATTTTTAATTGTCGGCCAAGTGCAACTTCCTCTCTTGGTGCTAAGAAAAGACTGCAACCCTAATGCTGTGTTTATTAAATGGCTCTCATGGATAGTAATCTTAACAGTAATAAGACTTAACTTTCTAAGATCCACATCTTAATTTTTTTAAAAACTAACTTTAACCCAGAAATCAACATGAAAATTTGAAAGAAGCAATAATGTTACAACATAAAGTGGGTCCTCAGTAAAGTTAGCTGTGGATACTTACAGTCTCCATGGTCAGCTGCCCAAGCAGACCAGGCTGCTACCCTGCTTCTAACATCCACCTGGGTGACAGTCCCTGGTGGCACAGGGGCGGGAGCTCGGGGCGGAGGTGGAATGCCAGGATCTGCTTTGGAAATCATCCTGAAAAAAGGATAACAAAACAACTGAGCTTTTATCGTCTCTTCTATAACACGTACGTCCTCTCAAGTGATGTTATTAGCTCCTCAGCCTCAGGAAGAACAATGTCAAGGAGTAATAAGGGTTTCACAATCAACCAAATTGTGTGTATTTAAAGCACTCAAGATACAAAAGTAGAGAAAAACTAAAATTCAGTGGGAAACCATGTTTGAATTGTTTTCTGGGTCTCCTGAGATTTGGAAAGGCTGTGGGCCCATGGCAGGCATAGGTGGGGTGACTCTGGGTTATCTTCTCTGAAAACGCCTGTTAAGACTCTCTAAGACAGACACACATTATGTCAGAGACAGACCAGACACACAGAGAGAAAAAAAGAGGCAGCTATGTGGAGACAAGCCAGAGGGAGCAATGAGTTGACACCAAAGATTGTAATTTGGAAAACAGAGTAATTCATCTCTACTGAAAATAATTTCTCTAAACTTTTAGGAGAAAGAAAATAAGACACATAAGCTAGTTGTAGCCACTAATTCCTTTTAATGCTCTGACCTCAGGGCCTCTGGCCGCCTCTTCTGTTTCCCTCCTTTATAGTCGCTGATCGCACTTTCAATATCCTCACTGATCAGGTTTGCCTGCGAAGAGAAAGAAGTCACCCAGAAGACCACAGAGTTGTCTTAGTTTTGATATGAAGAGTAAAATAGAAAAAGAGGTTCATATTCACCATTTGATTTGATAAGCATCTTGGTATAATGCAAACAGAAAGATTTTTTTTAATCTGCTTTAAAATTGGACTCAGCTCTGGGTATGGTGGTATATACTTTTACTCAGGAGGCAGAGGCAGGTAGATCTCTGTGAGATGGAAGCCTGCCTGGTCTACATAGAGAGTCCCAGGCCAGCTGGGGCTACAGGGAGATTCACTGTCTCAAACAAACAACAAAAATAGAACTCAGCATTTTAAATGGTGAATTTTATAATGAGAGAACTCAAAGTCAGATGTCATTCTTAAAGACAATCAAATCCAGAGTCTACTTAAAAGACATCCTTCCAAACAGCCCAATATAGAAAGACACATGTACACTGAGAGTATAAATGTGTTGAAAATTACACAAGTAACATCTCTGCCTTGGAAGAAGGAAGGAGCTAGATAAACCATTTCCCTGTGTGGTGGACTTCCTTCCCTTTTGAATCCTCAGAATCTCCTGAGAACCTGCTAACTCATGGAAATAGTCACTGAGGCCCTACTCAGCCACTCTTAATTTACAGTAATTCCACTTGATACAGTTTGGCTCTGCAGTGTCCTCCAAGATCCATGTGCTGAAGGCTAGTCATCAGCCTGTGATGCTATTAGGAGGTGGACAGGAAGGAAAAAAAGTCATCGGGGGTCTGTCCTTGAAGACGATACTGGGGTTTCCTCCTTCCTCCTCCTTCTCCTCCTCCTCCTCCTCTCCCCTTCTTCCTCTTCTTCCTCTCTCTCTCTCTCTCTCTCTTTCTCTTTCTCTTTCTCTCTCAATTCTACCATGCAATTCCCTTTTCCCTCTTTTCCCTCTGCAATGTACTTTGTGGCCACAGACCCAAAGGCAAGGGGCCAAGCAGCCATGAACTGAGTGAGGCCTCTGAAATCACGAGGGAAACAAGTCTTTCCTCCTTCTCAGTCATTCATCTCAGGCTTGTTGTCAAGTGACAGCAAGTGCACTTAGCTCTCCATTCACAGGGTGAGCCTCACTCTAGCTTGTACCGTTTGTGACAGCAACTTTGTTTTTTCATCTCAAGTAAAAACTAACATTCTGCCAATGATGAACTATTTCAATATTTTTCCAACAAGAAAAATTTTCTTTGGAACCAATTTCTTGGGATTTTCTTGGGAACCAATGTGAGATTTGTAGATAAGGTGTTAATTTTGTCTGGTTGTGAAAGTTATTTATAGTCAATAATTATGCCTGTATATGAACCTGTTGTGATGTAGTCATCTTCTATTTTTGTGCCTGTTTGCTCTGTGTAATTATGTATATTCTCTCAAATAGATTAATCACATATTCTTTAACAGTAAGCATTGACGATCATAAAATTTCAGGGCTGAATGGACACTGAAAGATCATCTGGTCAATTCACCTTTCTGTGTGTGTATGTGTAGCATATATGTATGTGTGTGCACGTTTGTATGTGTAGCATATATTTATGCATGACAGTATTTGTATATGCAGCACATGTGCATGTGGATGTGGCTATGTACATGTTTGGTATGTGTAGCATATGTGTATGTGTGTGGATATGTAGGTTTTTGGTGTGTGTAGCATATGTATATGTGTGTATGTGGATATGTACTTGTTTGGTATGTGTAGCATATATGTATGCATGCACATGTTTGTGTGTATAGCATATATGCATGTCTGCACGTGTGTGTGTGAGCACACAGTGATACGCATGTGGAGATCAGAGGACACGGCCGATGTTGGTCCTCACCTTCCAGCCTGCTTGAGGCAATATCCTTTGCTCTTCACCACTGCGTACCTCAGGCTACCTGGCCCTCCAGCTTTGGGGGATTCTCCTGCCTCCACCTCCCATCTCTCTGTAAGTATGCTAGGATTAGAAATATACACTACCATAACTGCCTTTCCTAGGTAGGCACTGGGGCTTCAAACTTTGAATCTCACCTGTGTAGTAAATACTTCACTGAGGCCAGCCTGGTCTACATAGCGTGCTCCAGGCCAGTTGGAACTAAAGAGCACGCTAACTCCAATAAGATGTTCGGCATTGGGCCGCAGGTCTTCTATTAAAAGGGGGATGGTTACTATATTTCCAAGAAAAATACACCACCATTAAAGGAGGCAAAAGCATTGTGTGACATCCCATTAACTGCCTTTCCTAGGTAGGCACTGGGGCTTCAAACTTTGAATCTCACCTGTGCAGTAAATACTTCACTGAGGCCAGCCTGGTCTACATAGCATGCTCCAGGCCAGTTGGAACTAAAGAGCATGCTAACTCCAATAAGATGTTCGGCATTGGGCCGCAGGTCTTCTATTATAAGGGGGATGGTTACTATATTTCCAAGAAAAATACACTACCATTAAAGGAGGCAAAAGCATTGTGTGACATCCCATTATTAACAGAACTCCAAGAGATATTACAAGATGATACACACAAAACAATTGCATCTTATGTCTATTTTAATCAGCTAAAGGGGAAACGTCTCATAAAGGAAGGGTGGCATCAGTGAGTGACAGGGCTTTATCATTTTCAGTGGCTCCTGAGCTCTACTGAGGATAAAACATTGTCCAGCAAGTCCTTTTTGCAATTTCACTATCACCAATTCCATACCAGACAAGGCAAGTCTCTATTCTGGAAGCCGAATTCCAGAATCTTCACTCAGGATAGTAACCTACAGCTCCTAAAGAAGCCCTTCACGGCACACACATAATGCTGAATTTGAAATGTCTTTTATTCACTTCCCGTTTTCTTAAATCTCTGAATTAAATTTCTTTGTTTTTAATCGGAGAAAAACCATTCACTTCACTGTTTATTGCTTTGACATATCTAACCCCACAAAATTCTCAACATATTTACAACTTTCAAAGGCACTATAGTGTATAAAAAGCTAATGAACATCAAAATACAAGTTACTTAAGATTTTTGTTCTGTTTTCATTTGTTTGTTTGTTTATACAGGGTCTGTTTTATAGCCAGTGGCCAGGAACTCACTATGTAGACCAGGCTGGACTTGAAGTCACAGAAATCCACCTGCCTCTGCCTCCTAACTGCTGGGGTTAAAGCCATGCATCACTGCATCCAGCTCTCAACTATGAAATATTTTTACAGTCATCAATGGAATAAATTGAAATTAGAAAAAAATAAAATATAGTGCATAAGGTCAGTCTTAATGTACCATATTTTAATGTCAATGAAATACAGAAGAGATCTGGTGTTTCTTAATACCAGTCTCCTACAATTCATCTACAAGATAAAAGTTGCAAATATATTTTATAATATACACTCAAAATGATAAATTTCTGCTTTAATAAGGTACCAATCAATAAAATAATTGCCCTTTTAGAGAAATCAACTCATAAATAAATATATTAAAGGTTGAAGACAAATTCTAAGGTCCAATAAAGCATCACAGATTATAATCATTTGGAAATTACAGTGTTCTTTGAAATATAAATTTTCAGAATCTATCCTATTATTATTGCAACTTTGTTCAACTACTTCTGATCTCACTTAGGGATTACAAATCCTGGGCAGTTATTCAAGTCACATAATTAAATGGTGAACTTTAAATCAATATCATGATAAATTCCAAGTGTTTCACTGCGGTAACATGAACCGTGTGACAGCACAAGAAAAAAAAAAAGAAATCTTTTTTAAGGGTAATTATTATCTATGAAACATGATGTTTAAAAATTTTATTTTTAATTATATGTGCAAGGCCTATAATGAGAATTTAATATATCATTTATACATTTTAAACAAAAATAAACAGAAAGTATCTAACATTTATTTGTTTCCTCATTTGAGACAGTGTCTTGCTCTAAAGGTCAGGGTGGCCTCAAACTCAGCAATCCTCCCGCCTCAGAGGAAAATGACAGATGAGAGCCACCCTGCCAAACCCTGATTTTTAAAAAAATACTAATTGGAGGACTGGTCAGATGGCACAGCTGTTAAAAGCACTGGCTGTTCTTGCAGAAGACCTGGGTTCAATTCCCAGCACCTACATGGTGGCCAACAATCATCCATAATTCCAGTTCCAGGGGATCCAATGCCCACTTCTGACCTCTGCAGGCACTGCAGGACACAAGTGCACTTACACACATGGAGGCAATACACTCATATGCATAAAATAAATAACAATAAATAAAATATTTAAAAATATTAACTGGGTTTCCTCTTTTCATTTTCCGGACACGGAAACTCTAGAGAAGACACTTAAGTTCTTGTCTTTTCTACCACAGTCTTAGAAATGAAAACCCTAGTACCTAACAGCTATATGAGAAAGACAGGTAATCTTGCTGGAAAACCGCAGAGCATTTGCTTAAGAGGAAGGGAAAAATGGGGCTGGAGAGATGATTTAGTAGTTATGATCACTTGCTGATCTTGTACAGGACTAGTTTGGCTCCCAGCACCCACATGGGGTAGTTCACAAAAGCCTATAACTTTACCTCCAGGGGATCCTACACCCTCTTCTGGCCTCCATGGGCAGTTGCACATATATGTGAATATACATTCATATACACACAAACACCACACACACACACACACACACACACACACAAGAAAAAAATCTGAAAAACAGAGGGGAGAAAGAAATCTCCATGCTCTTACCTTAACCTCATCACACTGGAAAAGATGCAGGTCCGGCTTGTTCTGGGTTGGCTCTTTGCACACAAGGGCAAGAACAGAATCATAGTTGCAAGAATGCATCACAGCTTGGCAGTGTTGGATTGTGTTTAAAGGAAAATTCTCCAATTCATTCTATAAATAAAATAAATATTTTATCATGCCAACTTCTACTCCTCTTCCAAGAATCTGACTTTATTGTACACATTAACATTCGTGGTGGTTTGCTGAAGAATAGGATGGTATGAACTTCACAAACTTGCCTTTGATTCCAAATCAATGAGGCTCACAGCTCGCTCATCTACTTGGAGAATCATATCTTGAGTCCACACTTTGCCCTTGGCATCAAGCAATTTCAGTTTCCTTATTCCATCATCCACAGTTATCATAGCATCTTTCCGGTCCAGCACAAAGGTAGTCAGGTGCTTGTGGTCAGGGGGGAAAAAGAAAAAAAAAAAAAACTTTTATAGCACACACATGTGGCCTTTTAGATCATTTTCCAAAGGGAAACAGAATTAGACTAATTGAGGTCAGTTAGCAGAGACACGGAACATAAACACAAAGTGTTCTACAACTTCATGATTAGCCCAAGAAGATGAGTGGGGATTTTGGTGAACACAGAAAATGATGAATCATTGGTAAGTTACCTATTTCATACTGAGCCATGCTGAACTACAACAGCACGATGCTGAAAGAAATTCTTAACAGTGCAAACACTAAAACACTATTCAATAAATGTCTCCCCTTGCTTGGGTGGCTATCTAAATGCTGTACAATTGCAGACAATCCCTGTGGTAGCTAGAACATTCTAGACATCATATCCCAGCGTAGCAGTGATGGTTCTGCTCACTGCCACGTTTGCCCTCTACTGAAAACACTTACAGAAAGAAAATGGCATGGATTAATTAAGCATGCTTGGGATCAGTAGAAAACTGAAAATCAAAACAGTTTAACCATAGCGTCTGTGCTTACATAGCTTCAACTCTCAGCAGAGAAGCCATTCAAATCCCAAATAAGAGCAAATATCTTCAAAACTAAAAAGAAACCAATGTTTAACAATAGCTGGTAATGCCTTTAGATAAAAATAAATATAAAACTGAACCATTCAGTGTGTCAAGGCTTAATTTCAGGAAGATTCTATAGTGCAAAATAGAAGTCTTTGTCTTGTTTTCAGTGGACTAGGGCTGACAAGGGTAAATGGGTAGAAGCTACGATTTTAATTGTTCATTATAAAACTAGAACATGGACTGTCAAAATAGTTTTAGATATAATGTCTCAATTTTACAGAAAAAAAAATCAAAAGAAAAGGTCAACACAACTTAAAATGTATCATATTCAAATGAAATGAGACAGAATTCTAATTTTACTTCTAATTTTTATGTCCCTTAAGAATTGGTGAGACCAAAGCATCTTACTTCAACTCGGTACTGGGATACATCTGACATACTGCTGACACTGTCCCGGGCATAATTCTTCCTCTGTTCTGAAAGATAAATTTTTAAAAGCCATTATTGAACCACTGATAGGCTGAAGTTCATATGTTGGAGTCATGTGGTCACTTCCAAAGCCTAGTCAGTCTCACAAATACAGTAGCTGACAAGTCTCTGTTGTGTGATGTATCTGAAAACATTCATTATTCACAGCAAATCCCAAAGTCACAAGGAAGTCTAATGATGTACAAGAACCTTTGAGCGAATTCAACTTGAGTTCAAAATATTAAGATTATGAATGTTCTAAGAAAAAAATATTTCATTTAAAGGTTTTATTAATCAGGGACTTACTGTTTATCAAAAAGTAAAAGAAAAGAAAAAGAAACAGCTTGTAGATTAATATATTGAGGTCAAAATCAGCTGCAAATATTGTCATAGATGCTGTATTATATGAGTTAAACTACATTATTAAAATAATAGACGTCACAAAGACCATCTCCTTTCACAACATCCAAACCAGAGATAGTGTTAAAGGAGATTCCAAACATGATGTAATCATAGGGATTGCCATAAGATTCAAAAATTGTCATACATCAATAGAACACACAAGTATGATGCTCAGAGTTATAGAGATACACTGCTAGGAAAACAGAAAGTTTAGTAGAGAGTTGTGGTGTCAAACTATGAAAATGCATAAGAAATTTTTAATTTTCTAAGATGCTGCAAAACCAAAAAATAGCATTCATATATAAAATTTGAATTGGCAATATTTGACTATTTGGTATTTATTACTTTGCAATCCATCAACGTACTTGGAAATTAAAAGTTGTCTTGTTTCTTCTAAGACATGAGTTGGGGATGGAAAGAAGTCCAAGGGGATCAGGAGATTCTCGTAATTCAAATGCTAGCTTTGACTTTGTTGTTAAGCAGAAAACTAAATTAAAGCAAGATAGTCAATGGTCTGGGCCTCAGAATGTTATTGTAAAATAAAAAGAGTTAAAAAGTTAAAACGTAAAGGCCCTTAAGGTCTTAAAACTTTGACATACACAAGTGTTTGTTATAAGTTAAATATACATACATATGCAGTTTCATGTATATATATCCTACAACCAACATTTTCTAACTTTATAAACATGTTTCTTCCTCTTAGGCGTCTTTGCAACAGATGTTAAAAACATCTAAAGCAAACAAAGATAAACCATGTCCAAAACTAAAAAGTATACAAGCAGATGCAAAATGTTAACTCAGAAAGTCTTTAAAAATGTGATATATTTTTAATTTATAAGTGTATGAAAGATTTTTTATTTTTATTTTATGTGTATGTGTGCATTGCCTGCGTGTATGTAAGTGCACCCATGTCATGCGATGCCCTCAGTGGTCAGAAGAGGGCGTTAGATTCCCCTGGAATTGGAGTTACAGATGGTTGTTAGCTGCCATGTGGGTGCTGGGAATCAAACCCTGGTCCTGTGCAAGAGCAGCCAGTGCTCTAACCACTGAACTATCTCTCCAGCCCCTGACTTAGTAAAACTTGGATGAACACTCCCATGTTCCTTTTATGGCCACTCATGTCATTCCATTGTTTTACTTTTGCTTTTGCAGCATTAAAAGGATTTAATAGAAGCAGACACACTACAAAATTCAGCCTTGGCTACCTTTCCTTTTTTGTTTGGATGATGACCTGAAGAAGTAGAATCCATCTGTTCCTTATAAAATATGTGTTCTGTGGGGTAAAGCTTCTTTCATTCAGTATAATGCTTTAAAAAAAATCCATCCATGTTATAATGGTATGTATATTTGTGTGTTGTATCTCACTAGTTCTTAGTAATAATTTGTATTCTGTGACTGCATTAGGTTGTGTGTATTTATGCATGTTTGTGGTATGAGCGCATGTTTGAATGTGTGTGGACATATGTCCATGTGCAGGTGGATAACTGCAAGTGTGCACATGAATGTGGAAACCTGAAGTTGACCTTGGGTGTCTCCCTTCATCACGCTCAGGGTCTCCACTCAACTCAGAGCTCACTATTTTGACGAATCTGGTTAGCCAGCTTGCTCAGGGGATTTCTCATCTCTGCCTTCTACCTCTTAAATTCTAGGATTACAGGTGGACCTCCATGCTTTTTATGTGGGTTATGGGGATCTGAACCCTGGTCCTCACACTTGTGCAGCCTGTGCTGCTGAGCCATCTCCCCAGCCCCTACAGTTTCTTTGATTATTCTATTGATGAACTCTTGAGCTAACCTCAGGCTTTTGGCTATTAGGACTAATGCTGCTATAAACTTGTAAATTAGCCTGGTGTGTTGGTTCATACCTTTAATCCCAGAATTTAGGAGGCAGAAGCAGGTGAATCTCTGTGAGATGGAGTCCAGCCTGGTCTACATAATGTGTTCCAGGCCTACTGGGGCTATAGGGAGATCCTGTATTAAAAAACAAAAACAAGCTGGGCATGGTGCTGCACACCTGTAGTCCCAGCATTCGGGAGGCAGAGGCAGGCGCATCTCTGTGAGATTAAGGCCAGCCTGGTCTACATAGTGAGTTCCAGGTCAGCTCAGGCTGCAGGGAGACCCTGTCTCAAAAAGATCTAAATAAATAATAAAATAAAATGCTGTGAGAAACAATTTTGACTTTGATTAGCTCAAGCATCTCTGTTAACATTAAAATTTTTTATTTATTTTTATTTTATCTGTATAGTGTTTTGTCTGCATGTATGTAGGCATACAACATGTGTGCCATGTCCACAGAGGACAGAAGAACCTATTTTGATTAACATTGCCCAATTTCCTGACACTATTTGAGGATATTTTACTTAAGACTTTCCAGAAAAAAAAAGATTTTGCTTTTTTTTTTTTTCTTGCTTGTTTTGGATCTTGTTTTGTTTATTTGTTTATCTATTTTAGACAGGATCTCACGATGTAGCCTAGACTGTCCTCAGACTCCTGGAGATCACCTCTTCATTGCTGGGACTACAGGCATGAGCCAGCATGCATACCTGGATTGTTTTGTTTAAAACACAGACTTAAATTTTTTCTTTAAGTAAAATATACATTACAAATACTACAGATGGGAAAAGAGAAATATGCTTAACTTTCACATTCACATGTAGGGCTGAAAGATTCCTTAGACTTCAGTTATTGCCCGTAGAAAGAGAAACAGGCCCCAAACCAAGATCAGGAGCTATAGAGGGACAGGTAAAGTGAAAAGGACATAAAGAAAAAGCTATCCCCTGGGGCTGGAGAGATGGCTCAGCAGTTGACAGCACCCACTGCTCTTGTAGAGGACCTAAGTTCGATTCCCAGACCCCACTTGGTGGCTAACCACCATTCATACTCCAGTTCCAGGGGATCCAACACCCTCTTCTGATCTCTGAGGGCACTGCAGGACATGGGTGCACTCATATACATGTAGGCAATGCACTCATACACATAAAACAAAAATAATAAAGAAAAAGCTATCTTCTAAGAAAGGAAAGCATTCAGGAAGATTGAGACACTGGAGCCAAGGACCGTAGAAACTCTGTATAAGAGAAAGTTTACAGTAAACTCTTAGGCAGACATGCAGTTCACAAAGTTTATTCATATCTAGTTCTGACCAGCATCTCCCTGAGAAGAAACATAAAAAGGCATACTTTTCACTTGTTATTATCACAAGAACTTAAGAGTGAAATGAGTCCTGGGAGACTGTCTAGTTATTAAATATTACTATGCCCCCTGATAATGCACATCTCAGAGTTAGTACAAATACTGAGAATAAAGTGCTACTAACTGATAATTCTGTAAACCTGAGGATTTCTGGCAGTTTTAGCCAGACATTTTTGTTATGGTAAATGGTTAAATTTCAAATTCTGTAATGCCTAATTTAGCTTTTGCATTTCTGAAGACTGAAATCCAGGGACTCACATGCTAAGCAAGCTGTCACCAATGAGTTCATTCATAGCTTGTGATACCTAATTTAAAGGGAAGTT